TAAGAGCTGGGCTGCTAACCAAAATGTCGGCAGTTTGAATCCACCAGCCACTCCTTGGAAACCCTATGGGGCAGTTCTACTCTGTCCTATAGGGTTGCTGTGAGTCGGGATCGACTCAATGGCACATAACAACAATAACGACATATAGAAAACACCATATGTACTGTCTCCTGTATATTATTATTATTGGTGGTGGTGTTAGTGTAGTTATAATTGATGTTCCGTCATACTCCTCCTACAGGTGCTTTATAGAGGGGTTTGATTCTGTGACATATGACATGCTTGTCTTTGCTACATAGCAGAAGGAACTCATCCTTGGTTAAACTTTGTTCTTGGTGGTATCACAAGACTCCTTCACACTCAGTCTCCTGGCAACCAACTTTCCTCCACCATCTTGTGTCATCAGATCAGCTCATGAATTAAAGCAGCCCAATTCTTACAGCTCTAGTTATGGTTCATGACTTTATCAAAGGGCTGAGTCTTCCTCTGTATTAAACCTGCAACCACCTCATGATATGAAATCTCAATAGAATAAGTAAGACCTAGCATTTACATGTAGAGGAAGCAGGGACCTTATAATCATCTTGTAAAGACAAGGAGTTTGAGGCTGACAGAAGTTGAGGACCTTGGTTTGGTCTCAAAGTTCATAAGAGGCAGAGTTGAGTCTCAAAGCCATGATGTGTGGGGCCAGATTCTGCTCTTTTCTCTGCTCCATGCTGCCTGCTGATGCTGATGCTCCCCGAATCTCTAGTCACATCACTCTCCTCACTTTATCTGTCCTCAGACCAAACAAGCGAATCCTGCCCATGGCTCACTGTCTTCTTCCCTGCTTTATTTCAATTCTCTCTTTGTGACCTGTGGCTCTTCAGGGTGACAAAAAAAAAAAAAAAAAAAAGAGCTTCCCACAAAAAAACGAACAAAAATTATACTGCTTGGGACCATTCAAAGTGGGTTTCCCCTGGTAAGATGGGTACCTTGAAGAAAAAAAACAGTTGAGAATTGTCAAAGGGGGCTATGTTCAGCAAAAGGTGGTGTTTGCTAAATAAAACAACCTGAATGACTTATGTTTGCTGGAATTCTTTTCTCTTGGTTCACCTCTTTGACCCATTTTTATGTCATGTAGACTCATTGATTATATTTGTCCTAGTACCTTAAAAAAGAATCATACTAGGTTTGTCCAAACTCAAACACTGGCTGCAAAAATGCAGTCAGTAATGTGATGCTTTCAAATATAGATGGATCTTACTTTCAGCAAACTCGAAATAACAAAATTCTAAGTAATTTAAAACTGATAAAATAGGCAGTCATTAAAAGAAAAGATTTCCTTTCATAAAAAAGATTCCTGAATTATTTTCTTCCATATTTAAGATCTCTGCAAATTACATCACATTTTAAATGCTTAGTAAAAAGAGCAACTGACTTTAAAAGTTCAATTACTATACAGCTTTCCAGGAACACATTCATAACACAGGGCAAGGGGTATTTATACTCATTTGTTTGAGGTCCTGTAGCAACATGCTTGATGGCATGTTCTCCATCCAGATGTTTTTGTATCTTGGAATTAGGTCCTTAAACCACTTCAGAGAGATAAAGCCTAATCTTTTTAAAGACTTCCAGGGAAATGGAGTCCTTAACCCTCTCTGATGATCTTTTTCGGTGCTCACCAACTCTTATTTCATCTTGCTTCAGCCTGAGTCCATTTCAGTCATCATTTTGAGCTGGAGTTGGGAAACACAGGACAACGGCCTCTTAGGGAGAGGTCTTCATATTTGTGGCATTCCCTGCTAATCACCCCTCGTCCTACTCTTCCCTCAGCCGAATAATTCTGGTTCCCATAGCCCAGCGGTAATGGAATAATTCTGTGATTGTAGTCACAACCACGAATAGCATGAATCAGAAGAGTCACGTGACAAATGCATGCCTCACGGATCCAAACAATTTAGAGTGAGAACTTGAATCGTCGGTGAGAAAGGCACCTAACACTTAAGAATGACTACCGTCTCTGTTTCGTGGTCTTAACCTGTCCATATAGGTCTGATATTACAGCTCTTTAATCATCTTTGTGGTTTTCCATGGAATCTCTCCGAGGTCCCCACACTTCTCATTAATGGATCCTAGAGCTAGAAGGGGCAGACCGACCTGTACTGAGCACAAGCGTGCGGCTGTTCTTGCTGACCGCATGCCTGTTCGTGCAGTGTGGGGCTTGTGTCTTCAGCAAACAGAAACAAGGACAGTGATAAGCTAGTTTTCCACCGTCGGCTCGGGATCTATTGAGAACGCTTAGGGTTTTCAAGTTACTGCTTGTACTCTCCTGACTCTTACTATTCCGTATCTATTTGTATGTTTTTCCTAGCTAGGCATACTCCTGCGCTTTCTACTGAGTTTTATTCATTCTTCTAATTTTTGAATTTTTACTTGCCCCAGGTTACCTAAATTCTGAGTCTATTTTCTGAGCCTAAGTTTCTGGTTTTTCTGCTTAATCGCAGAGCAATCTCTATGCTCTTTACTACACTATTGGCATATATATATTTTTTTTCACCAAATGTCATATTACAGTGGCCTTGAAGACCATTTGCAGAATAATTTTTGAATCATGCTTGAATAATAAGTTTAGTCCTGACCAGACCAGGGAACACGGTAGTGCCTCAAGCCCTTGCTCTTCATCTCAGACACTCCTTAGAGTGCTTGAAACACTTGCCTTATCAGTATTTTGGAGGCACGGAATATCGGTCACTACAAGTCCCAGTGTGTACTGGGTTGTTATGAAACTCCAAGAGTTTTTTTTTTTTTTTTTTTTCTCTCTGTCTGGCTTTTGTTTCTTGGAAACATAGTTAAAAAACAAAACAAAACAAACGCAAGCAGTTTTATCCTATCTTCTGCTGATAACTGTGAGACGCAGTTCCAAGAAAGGTTGACTCTGCAATTCTACCACAAACTTCACTGACCAGATTATGCATCACAACAAGCAGTTAAAAACTTTTATAGGAAGCACGCATGGTGTCAATTTCCGACTCTCGGTCAAAGGAGCTGAAAAGAATTGATGGATGCATCTATCTGAACAGGATTTAATTTGAATATGTAATTACCCATAGACTACAGCTCAAAAAAGTGTACGTACTTAAAAGGAAAGCTTCTATTAATTTTTGAGCTTAGTGAACATTGTATGTGCTATACAATATATAAAATAACACCATCTTTGCACATTAGAAACAAATTGTGAGAAATCAGATGCCTATTAAGACACAAAACTGACGTAAAACGATGATATTGGGTTATGAATAATAGGCCAGATGTTTCATACAAGAATTAATGAGTTTTGCCATATTTCCAGATAACTGAAATTAGCTACTATTTCCTCCAGGTTGTTGGGGGTCCAAGCATCCTTGTTGTCATGGATAATGTATCTTATTCCTTAACAAAGTATAGTCAGCTAGCTTGGTCTTACATAAGGATAAAAAATTATTATCAAAATGTCACATAAGCAAGTTGCTTTATTCCCACTAATGACTATATATCTGAGCCTTAGCCAGGATTCAGATTTAATGGCTCTTACTGTTGCTTTTTGTTAAACCTGGAAGAGTTTTAAGCAATGAAGGGTTTGAAAAGTAAAAATCCAGAAGCTATTGGGTATTGTGACTTTAATGTGGTGATGAGCCCTACAAACCAGTTTATTATTATATCTGGGTAAATTAGCTTGGGGACTTCAATTTTATAAGTGTCAATCACTGTTGCCAGGATTGACTTCTGTACTAAATGGCCAAAGCAGCCCCAGCCTAGTCTGTGGCTGGTTCACTCATTTTATAGTGGGTGCCTTTACCCAGCATGCATACTCAGAGCCACACCCTCATTATCTGGAGCCTTTGATTTCATTCCTGTTTTGGTCTCTCCCCATAAATCTCTATAGTTTGGAAGAACTGATTTTTAATAAAAGTTTATTCTTGATTCTGGGTGTCTTCATCTCCATGCCTGAGCTACAAAGTCACCCACCTAAAATCTGACCCACTCCCTTTTTGTTCCTTCTTGGCTCATCCTGCTGCCCCATTTCTCTCCTGTTTCTCCCACAGGGGAGCCTCCCCGTTCCCTGAACCCCCTGGAAAGTACCTCTTGAGAACTCTTGGTTCTCCACTCTGAAGCTGTGTTGGTAGGCTGGCACGGGACAAGTGTTGCCTTGTAAAGGACGATCCTGCTTACATGAACTGTAGAGAATGCAGAGCTCGGGTATGATGTACAGAAGAAGGAAAACCCATGCGTTGGTGACCAGAGCAATGCAAATGATGGGGTCATCCCACTGGGGCTGCCACTGGAGCTGTGGGTTGCCCCTCATAAGCATGGAGATCCATGTGATCCAGATAATGATGGAGATGAGCATAGTAACAAAGATGAGCCTTCCATGCTGCTTCCAGTTCTCACATGGGCCACAGAAGGTGGCTTTGGAGACAAAGAATGTGAGGGCCATCAGGAAGAGGACATAGACCAGGAGTACCACAAAGTCCACATTGAGCTGATAGGGTGTCATGTGCACAAACATCATACCTCTGGTCATTATGAGAGTCACATACTCAATGGCAATGATCGTCTGCAACAGGCTGCAACCAATAGCAATGCACAGAATTGTTGTCCAAGTGAAGGAGACTCTACCCCGGACCAGCTTCACCAGGTTGGAGGCATGAGCCAAGAGACATGAGAAACAGACAGCAAAGAGTACCCCAAAGAGAAAGTAACGGACAGGGGCAGTTTGCCGATTGAGCTGGACGATGAAGGCAAAAGCAAGGCCGAAGAGCCCCAGCACACCCAGAAGGAAGAGGAACTGGGTGGGGAGGACATTCCACTGGCTGCAGTCTTGAACCTTTCGCATAAGGAAGAGAAATGCCAAGAGCAGTATAATTGTAACCACTATGCCAATTGCTGCCAGGGACTCCAGAACAATGCCCCATGCCCCCTCAGTGTCACAGAGAAGGTAATAGTCCCCACTGGACTCAATGCAGTCATCATACATGGTGACTTATAGTCGGCCCTTGAGAGAATGGTCTTCTGATCCCCTATAGAAAAAAGGTAAGACAAACTTATCACTTTACATTCACCCACATGAACACCGTTGCATAGTCCTGGGAAGGACACTATAATGTGCCTCATTCCAAAATGAAGACCCCTGGGCATAGTGAATAAAATGGCTTTCCTCAAATTGTCACTAGGACTCTGGAGAGAGCCAAGTTATATTATCCATATGCTATGCTTCCCTAGGAAAAAAATCAAATATAAATATAAATATATATATATATACATGGTCCAAAGGGACAGGAAATACTGTCACATATATTACCCCCAAATTTATAGCCCTTGTGTATGCGATGCCAGTAAAAGAAATGAGAGAAACAACCCCAAATCTTCAAAACTAGCTGAGCTCCATCCTTCTGCTGGGCAAAGCAGAACAGACTCCCCTTAAAGGCTCTAGATTATTCATCCATATCTATGTCACAATCTCCACCAAGGCTTTCTGAAGGCTAATGCAGAATCTTTTTCATAAAATGAATATAACAATGTTTGCATGATGGATGGAAATCCAGTTATACCGGCTCCAGAATAAGAGTTGCCAACATTAATGGATCACTGGGTCATTTTAGGCACCGATCCACTGCTTGAAGAAGTCAGGCAGGTGATTTTTCCCGTAATTTTAGTGACTGTTCCTTCTTTTAACTCAATTCAAGTCAACCCAATGCAACAGGTTGTTATTAAACATCTACTATTTGTTGATCAAAGAATTATACAAAATGGTGCTGGCTTTCAAATAACTTTTTGGACAGTTTAAAACCAAAGTCCACATCCCACATACTCACTTGGAAAAAAGTACTTCACAATTAAATACTCCTAGTTCTACTCCCCTTCAGTTATTCCCAAGCCAGATGGCTGGAGTGATCCAAGTTTATAGCTGTGGGCATGGCCCCTTACCTCCGACACTTACCTTCTCTGTGTCCACTCTGGCAGCTGAGGCTGTAGTGATGGCGAAGTTGTAACTGCCAATGAGTAAGGAGACAACCTCAGCTTCTTTAATCTCTTCCCAAATGGGCGGAAGAACCGTATGCCCTCACTCAAGTTCCTGCAGCATCAATAAAAAGAACCGCAAGGACAGAAAGACACACCTATTCCAGTTTCACAGCAACTTTGCAGAGAACAATTATTTTTCATTCTACTGCTGACCAGAGGCACCTTAGCCTGAGGTGGGTCTGAAGGGATATGAATTTAGAACTCTGTTTCCTCCCTGTACACTCCATGTGCTCAGGAAGCTATGAGAGGCCCTCATTTGGCCAGGACACTTCATTCTTCTTCGGACACACTGTCTAGAAAAGCCATCTCCAGAGATTTCCCCACAGCTTGATTTTGATTGTAAGATCCAAAAGAGCCTCCATGTCAACAAAGGAACAAGAACGATTATGTTCATTCAAAAGGGCAGTGTTTGGTAAAATTGTGAATTTCCAAAAGAGAAAGTCCAGTCTACTACTGTCTTTTCCTCTGTTTTGGAAATCATTCTCCAGGTCCTGGCAGTCCATCAAGTGTGGGCCCCTAACTGGGCCAGTCATTTCTGGCATTGCCCAAGGCTTTGGCTGTCGTTTCCCTCCATCCTTGCCCTCCTCACCTCCATCAGAATGCTCTTGTCTAGGTCTCATTTTATCAGGACATTCCTAGGTCTCAGGATAAAAGAATTCACAATTCAAAGTGATATTGGTATCATGTATTAATTTTCTCCTGTGGTGGTATATAATAAAGACCACAGGTCAGTGTCTGGCCTATGCCAACTGCTCCCCAAAATTTACTCCTTTGTTCTTTTCCTGCATAATTGCATTATGACAGAAAACTTCTGAAGACCCCGAATCACTGCACATTAAACATGTTAGTCTGGTTTCAAGATGCTCCATGATCTGGCCTTGCCTTTCCCATCCAACCTTTATTTCGTTCAGATCTTCAGGCCCTGCGGTTTAGCCAAGTTTGTTTTCCCATTGCGCCACAAAGAAACGAGCTCATACCTGCTTGTCTACTCTTAGATGTTGCCCTCTGCGGGACTGCCTCTTGCTTTACTCCCATCCATCCTGTTTACCCATCCAAATGCTTTCCCTACCTCTAAGATACAGTTCATCTTATCTCCTCTATGAAGCTTTCCTTGATCACGCTCATCCTCACTGATCACTTCCCACCACGAACTCTAGAATACTTAGGGTCTGTCCTAGCCAAATTTATAAAAATTGTATTTTCTGCCTCGAATCATTCGCTGCTGTTCTATTTGTATGAACCTCATCCCCTGATTAGATTTATAGCTGCCTGGGGGTCAGGCCCCCCATTTCATGCTCCCATAGCACCGTGCCCAGTGCGGGGCACTTTCTAGGTGTTGGATGGATTGATTAATTGGATGACTCTAATAATAGAATTCCAGGCTTTTGTGGAAGGCACTTTTTAGTAGTCTGGTCTTTCACAGATGCTTCCTCATGGAAACCACCTGCAAATAAGTCAGGAACTTAACAGATCCTTGACAAATCTGTTCTGAAGTGGTGTTCTATCTTTAGAGATTCCTTAACTTTAAAAAGCCATTTTCTCCTTTGAGAGAAGAAAATTCTAGAGACAAGAATCCTCCCCTTTACTTGCTTTGGGCATCATTGTGGTTTGTCTGAAGCTGTGAAGGCTGAAGGAAAGCTTAAGTTAGGGGTAAAGGGATTTTCCAGATGACGAAATGTGACATCCATGAGAATTCACTCAAAAAGCCCAGTGAGTGGTTAAGTGGCTGCCAGTAGAACACTAGGAGGATTTTCCATCTAATTCTTCCACGAGAACTATTTTGGTGACCCTACCCCCAAGAAGGATGAAAGGGACCCCTTCAGGCTGTTCAGTCACGGTCATTCCTCATTGTTGGGATGTTTTCTTTCTGGCTTGCTAGTCTTCTCAGGTGACTCCTCCTCACCCTCCTGATGGCTTGAGGTGGTGAATTAATGGGTTAATTACCACAAAGCCCTTTGAGCACCCTAGATAAAAGGACCTGTCCTAGGTATTAATTACTGTGATTTTAAAATCTGGGGTTATAGAATTAATCCATCTGTTGCTAGGCCTTAAGGAAATGAGGGCCCCTTTTACAAGTCCACATTACTCACACCCCATTTCTTTTGCCTTTTATGTAGCAACAGCATCAGTCCAAACAGCTCAGTACAGCTTTGATGAATCAAAATATATCGATTACAATGAGTTCATTAAAAACGGAGATAAAAGAAGCAGGAAGCAAAAGGTCTTTTGCCAAAACACCTTTTTGCATTGTTTTCTTCTCATGGAACAGAGCTGTAGGTGATGTTAGAGGTTAAAGGGTTAGGTTCGCTTAACCCTTTCATTAATGATTAATAATAAGGGCGCCAGTATTATAATATGAGTAATTTCACAACAAGGAATCAGACACCTAGAGAAATGAAGGGATGTACCCAAGGTTGTAGAGTGTTAGAGGAGACAGCTGTGGTTGCCTGACTCTTGCTCGGTATTTTTGCTGCTATCCCAGACTGTCTTTCCTGATGTTTTCCAGCTCAAAGGACAAACTCTTAGGGAAATACAGGTGTATAGAGTGTGGGACCCCCTGGGATCAGAGACAATTGCTTCTTGGTTAACAAGATTCTACAAAAAACGGTTGTCTTTGAGTTGATTCTGACTCATGGCAATCCCATATATGTCAGAGTACAATTGTGCTCCATAAGGTTTTCTGCTTTTTTTTTTTTTTTTGGTTACAACTTTTATTTATTTATTTATTTTCAAGGCTGAGTATCTTTTATTGTATCAACTTTTTGGGATAACTTTATCAATTTCCTTTAGCTTTTTTTAAATAGAATTTTATTTATTTTGTTGTTGTTGAGAGTATACACAGCCAAACATACACAATTTAACAGATTCTGCGTGTACCATTTAGTGACATCAATCACATTCTTTGAGTTGTGTAACCATTCTCACCCTCCGCTTATGAGTTATTCCTTAACATAAACCCACCGCCCCCTAAGGTTCTATCTAATCTTTCGAGTTGCTGTTGTCAATTTGATCCCATATAGATAGTTCTTAAAAGAGCATAATGTGCAAGGCAAACATTTTTTACTACTTAAGCTAAAATATTGTTTGGTTTTAAGAAGACTTCAGGGAATATTTTTGGTTTAAGGTTTCAATATTAGCTCAGGGAAATAGTTTCATGGGTTCATCCAACATTCATGGCTCTAGGAAGTTGGATTCCATGAGAATTTGAAATTCTGTTCTGCTTTTTCCCTCCTTTTGATCAGGATTCTTCTATAGAATCTCTGTTCAAAATGTTCAGTAATGGTAGCCAGGCACCATACAGTTCTTCTGGTCTCATGGCAAAGAAGGCAGTTGCTTATGGAGGCAATTAGCCACACTTGCCATATCCTCCTTTTATTCCTGACTCTGACTCTCTTCTTTCTCTGTTCTTCCAGTTGAATAGAGACCAATTGTTGTGCTTTGGATGGCTGCTTGCAAGCTTTTAAGACCTCAGGAACTATGCATCAAAATAGGAGGTAGAACAGAAACACTAAACATGTTTTTAGGCCAGTTAACTGGGATGTCCAATGAAACCATGATCCTAAACTCCAAATCAAGAAATCAAATCCCATGAGGTTTTTGATTGTACATAAGCTGCCTCAGCAGCTATTTTTTTTTTTCCCGTTGTTGTTGTAACATAGCCGTTTTCAACGGCTGATTTTTCAGAAGCAGATCACCAGGACTTTCTTCTAAGGAACCTCCGGGTGGACTTGAACCTTTTGGTTAGTAGGTGAATGCATTACTAGTTTGCACCTCCCAGAGACTCCAAGTGAGAGTCCAGGTGCTATTAATATAGAAGCGCCAGGCTGGCCTTGCCTCTTCAGTCCAGGGAGGCCTAGGTTTTTGCCTCTGCTGGGACTTGAAGTGCTCTTGGAAGGTGGTGTGGTGTAATAATGGGAAGAATTTAGTGGCTCATAAATACAAAGAAAAAATGTA